AAGGATTAATGCAAACGAATAAAAGATTAAAATGTGTTTTTTTTTTTTTTTTTTTATTTAATCCAAGTGCCAATCCGGGAGCAGCGGACAAATGCTCATCCATGATGAAAAGAGGAAACGATCAAAAGATTAAAATGTGTTTTTTTTTTTATTTTATTTTTTTATTTAATCCAAGTGGCAATCCGGGAGCAGCGGACAAATACTCATCCATGATGAAAAGAGATAAATAAAGTTTACATCACGAGTTGATGCGGACAATGCCTCCACCTGCTGGACAAACTGTGCCATTACGTTACATGGTCAAATTTACATTATATTGTCAGTGTTCAAGATGTTGCACCCGAACTTTATGCAACGCTGACTGCGTGATTTTTATTCTTTTTTTTTTTTTTTTTTAATAACAGGTCGTCCATTTGGGGCCACGAGAGACATCATTTTGGATTCCCTCTCATCACACGCAGCTGAAAGGTGCAAGCACCCAAATTTTTCTTTTCAAACACTACTCTAACACGATGGCGCACACACGCACGCGGCTGATCTTTATTTTTTTACTCACATAAAACTGAATCTCTCTTTCTCACAATACACCCATACATTACACTGAACATGACATAATGAAATCCTCGCAACACTGACGGCCCGTCACACTCCGTCACTTACCGTCTTTGTCCACAAGAGATGAAGGCGGAGCGATGGCAGCACCACCCATACCTGAGGAAAGGGACACACAAACACAAAGTCAACTACATTTCCACACAAATGGCTTTGTTTTAGAAGTTCATTCAATACGAGCCACAATAAAGCACTCACTTCGTTTTCGCCGCTCCTTTTCATAATCTTCCTCCTCTTCAGAGTCCTCCTCTGCTGCTGGAAATCTCGAGAAGCCGCTTGGGGCTGCTCCTTCATGTCTCTCTTTCCTTTTCCTGGTGCAAAAAGGACCGAAATGGGCGCGAGAAGGCGATTCAGTCGGTCAGAGAATACTTGTGGAGACATTTTGGTGTTTTCGCTAGATATGATTTGGTGTACTTTTCTCTGTCCTCAATCTCCTTCTGGCGCTCCTGCTCCCTCTGCCGCTGTCGATCTTCCCTGTGCCGCTTCATCACCTTCTCATAGTCGTTGGGAAACATTGGGTCGTACTCGTCGGCGAGTGGGATCAGCACATCTCCGGAGGAGAAGCCGCCGGGCGCGGCCTCCTGTAATATTTATCGTAAGTTCCATGGGGGTGTTTACCTTTGAAGTAAAATGTAATCCCAACCTTGAGTCCAGCAGCAGCATGTGGAGGAGTGTCTGGGATTTGTCGGTCTTCACTGGGACCTCCTCGCTTTAGATCAATGACAGGGGCCAAAACGGTAGTCTGCTTGGTCCGATGGGTCTGCACAGATGAACATATTTATTAACATTCATAAATGCCAGTGGCAACTGAGCTTTGGTTGAGATGACACCGATGTATTTGTACCTTTGCTTGGGTCAGGGCTGCCTTCTTCACCTTCAGCTGGGACTGCAGCAGCTTGAAGTTTTTCGACCATCCCTCGGTCTTGGTGTCACTTGCACCCACGCCGAGGTCATCATACAGCGACATTGCTGTTACCTGCAAATAGATGCACCATTTCAGTCACAATGTGGACAGAATGTAGAGCCTATGCATATTACGCAGGTGGTCGCCAGTAACTTAACAGGTCAGGTTTATAACGGGGCGCTAACGGATTGAGGCGTGTATTGTTGCCACACAATTTAAAAGATTTGAAATCGAACAGGCCACGAGAAATAGGCTAATGGCTAGCGTTAGCTAAACAGTATGCGACAGTCGTCTCTCCCTGCCGTGTCGCGTTTAAACTTTCAGAATACCGTTCGTGGTGAATGTTAAACCCACCGTTTTTAGAGTTATGTTGATATTAATTGAATGAAACTGCTTCTTTTAGCTGCACGTTGAACAAAAAGTCATGTTCAAGCAGGGCGGAAGCAAAAAAAAAAAAACCCCAAGCGCGACAGTCAACGATGCTGACGTTTTCATTAACTTGCGGCGCCACCTCGCGGCCGGAGGACTCCAATTGGGCCACGACGTTGCTTTATTTTGCAAAAGCACTCTTTTGCAATTTTAAAATCACGTTTTTGTTTCACACGGTGTTGTGTTCACATGTTTTCGTCGAACTGGAGACGATTGTTGGCGATTTGGGGGCTGTTGGACTACAAACATGGCGGACCGCACCATCAGCTTATGTCAGAATTTAGGAGGACCCGCACTGTTGTGGGTAGTAGAGTAAAACTGAAAGTGAAAAGGAGCATGGGTGCTTGGCAGCCTTACTCGCTTATGATTTCCCGTCGAGCTGTCGGATGGCTTTGGGATCACTTTTGCTTGTTTGCGTCGTTGCGCGTGTGCTGGGCACGGCGCGCTGCTCCGACGGCGGTAAGCACCCACACATCCTGACGCTCACACTTGCCTTGTTTCCAGCTCTTTTTTAAAGGCATATTTGAACGTACATTCTTGTTTATTATTGTTATACTTGCCTATTCATCGAGTGTTACAGTCTGTAAATAAATGCAGTGTAGCCCAATTACAAACAGGGCTGTCAAAAGTACTCACGGTACTCGAGTGCAGATATGTTTGTTAAAAAAATAAAAAGACTGCGGTAAAAATAGAAGTACTGAATTAACTCCTTAAAAACGTACAGATTCCGAAATGTACTTAAGTACAAAAGTGAATATTTTTTTACTCTTAATTTTGTTCAATGCTGTTTTGTTAGTTTGATACAACGGGATAGAACTAGCTTCGCTCTATAAACTTGCATAGTTACTGTAGTGGGAAGGGAAAAAAAAAGCTAAATTAGCTTGTGGCAACAAGTCCACACAATAAATCCTCCTTTTTTTTGTTTGTTTTTATTTTATTTTTTTCAGATGAGACAACTAAATTTGGAATTCTGCAATCTTGATCTTTTAAGGCACATTCCGATCGCCGACAACATCAAACAAGGCCGCAGATGGGGAATATCTTACTTCTCTAACATCTGTTGCCTTTGATCATGCTCCCCAGTTAATGTTCCCCCGTGTCCCTGCTTTCACGATTTAACAATCCCAGATCTCAAAACGCGGTAAACCTCTGATGTATTTTTCGCCTCATTATCCTTGGCATTTTGTTTGTTTTTATTTTATTTTTTTCAGATGAGACAACTAAATTTGGAATTCTGCAACATTGATCTTTTAAGGCACATTCCGATCGCCGACAACATCAAACAAGGCCGCAGATGGGGAATATCTTACTTCTCTAACATCTGTTGCTGTTTTTGATCATGCTCCCCAGTTCAAGTACCCGTGTCCCTGCTTTCATGTCCCTGCTTTCACGATTTAAGAATCCCAGATCTCAAAGGCGGTTAACCTCTGATGTATTTTTCGCTTTGTCATTTTTGGCAGCGCATCCAGTACGTAAACATGCAGTTTTATTATAATGAGGTGTTATCTTCTGCTGTAACTTCTCACACAAATATAAATTGTCAGCGATGATGTCACTGACCATAAATGGGGTAAACGCAGCACAGCTTGATACCGAGATAAACAAATGCTGGGCTTCAACATGTGTTAGTATTACATCTAGGACACAAGTGAAGCCGCATCCAGTACGTAAACATGCAGTTTTATTATAATTAGGTGTTATCTTCTGTTGTAACTTCTCACATAAATATAAATCGTCAGCGATGATGTCACTGACCATAAATGGGGTAAACGCAGCACAGCTTGATACCGAGATAAACAAATGCTGGATAACATGTGTTAGTATTACATCTGAATCCAATTGTGGACATGGTAACTTGCACTAATAATTCTTGTTGCAAGGACTTGTATTTTCGAAATTATTGAGCCGAAAGCTAAAGTGTGGATACTTAGTACTTAATTGTCGTTAACTGTAAACGCGTATGAGAATAGCTTCAAAGTTTCACTGTTGTGTCTTGTTTAATTGGGAGTTCCATTATCGTTGTCGTTTTTGTTGGTGCCATTGTCCTTGCATTTTTGTCCTCGCTACTTAGCACACTCACAACACAAATTGTTTTGTCACATTGCCTATAATCCAGTTCAACTTGTATTTATTACCGATGTTGGTTAGGTTTCTGGTTCATTCATAATTACTCTCAACGGGTTAATTATGCAAAATTGCATCATCCAAGTGCCGCAATTGAATTTCCTCATTGTGTCTTCAGACCAAAGTGAGTGTCCCTGCTCGGGAATCCCTCAGTGGCCTCTAACCGAGCCTCCGCCGGAGGACTGCCACCAGCTCAACAGGACTTTCCGCTACACCTGCCTCAAAGGCTACCTGAGGACGGCGGGCACGTCCAATCTCATCAAATGCAAACCCGGCAGTTCGCGGTGGTCCAGTCCCACCCTCAAATGTAAACGTAAGTCTTTATACTTTGTGTTCGGATGCGGTAGCAGCTGATGTCGGTGTCGAAGCAATTTACCGTATTTTCCGCACTATGAGGCCCACCTAAAAGCATTCAGTTTTCTCAAAAGCTGACAGTGCGCCTTATAATCCGATGCGCCTTATATATGGATCAATATTCTGATTTCTTGGACGTATTATTTTAAATGTTCTGTAAAGCGCTTTGCTCCAGCTGCAGCGGTTGGGAAGGGTCTCCATAAATAAAGCCGTATTCTATTTCGCGTAGCGCCATCTAGTGGAGGCACAACCCAACCGCAGCCATTATTTTGGCATCTATTCAATGCATTTTATAATGCGGAGCGCCCGAACCCACCTAAAAGCATTCAGTTTTCTCAAAAGCTGACGGTGCGCCTTATAATCCGATGCACTGTATATATGGATCAATATTCTGATTTCTTGAACGTATTATTTTAAATGTTCTGTAAACCGCTTTGCTAAAGCGGTTGGGAAGGGTCTCCATAAATAAAGCCGTATTGTATTGTATTCTATTTAGCGTAGCTCCATCTAGTGGAGGCACAACGCAATTGCAGCCACTATTTGGGCTTCTATTCAATGCGCCGTATAATGCGAAGCGCTCGACATATCAAAATCATTTTCAAATAGGATAATCGTTGAAGGTGCGCCTTATACTCCAAATGTGCCTCATAGTGCGGAAGATACGGTAATCTGAGTAACGCACGATGCAATATGTAAAGCATGACTGTGTTTTCAGTGGACCCCAGAGGAGGCGCCGCACACGCATCCAACAGCACCGACGCAGGTGAGCGTACGACGACGCTCGAGAGGAACTGCCCAAAGCGAAGAGCACGATGATTCCTACCGATAATAATCACTTGACATTCTTTCAACGTGTAGACGCTGTCACTCTTTCTACGCTGGCGATATGAAGTGTCAAATAAGTGTATGGTCGTACTTATGCACTATTGGAATAAAAATAAAAAGTACAGATACTGTATACGTTTTTTTTTGTGTGTGTTCGTTTTTACGTCCGAGATCAAATTTGCTACAGTGAAAAGTCCCCTGTTGTGAAAAATTTCTTGCTGCAAACATTATTTCATTGGTGAGGAGTTTCGCTGTACTCCGAAGCGCCATATAGTGCGGAAGATACGGTCATCTGAGTAACGCGCTGTACAATATGTAAAACATGATTGTCTTTTCAGTGGACCCCAGAGGAGGCGCCGCACACGCATCCAACAGCACCGACGCAGGTGAGCGTACGACGAGAGGAACTGCCCAAAGCAAAGAGTACGATGATTCCTTCCGATAATCACTTAACATTCTTTCAACGTGTAGACGCTGTCACCGCGAGCGTAGAGAAACACAGAAATACGTCGGGACCCGGATATTCACTGTTAAATGGTTCAAGCAACGACACTTCTCTTCCACAAAACAGATCCTCCACGACTGGTGAGTTTGCTCTCACATATTGTTTTAGTTTACGTTGTCAATGGTCAACAGTCGGCATTCTCTTGTCGGGAATATCTGGCTCAAGAAACCGCATTCTGGCACTGCCAGGAATCTGTTTTGCAATGTGAGATTGTGAATTTGCCTTGCGGAGAATCGTGCTTCTGACGCTTTATGGTCGTGTCGTAAATGCTCGTAAGTCAACGAAAACGGACCTCGTTTGTATTTTGGACTTTACATTTTACAGGTTCACTACAACAAACATTGGTTGTCACTCATTTGTAATATTTTTTTTGTCACTGGCAGGATCTGGAATCACCATAGCGGTGGCCAGTAGCATCTCAGTCGCCATTGCGGCGCTTCTCGGAATCGGCCTCCTTCTTCATAAAATGTAAGTCATGAGAGGAAACGCTTCCCCAGTTCGCTTTTTCCACATTTTGCAGTGTTCCATCTATTTGTTCACACTCTGCATTTTGTTTTCACCGTCATCTGAGTAACGCGCTGTACAATATGTAAAACATGATTGTCTTTTCAGTGGACCCCAGAGGAGGCGCCGCACACGCATCCAACAGCACCGACGCAGGTGAGCGTACGACGAGAGGAACTGCCCAAAGCAAAGAGTACGATGATTCCTTCCGATAATCACTTAACATTCTTTCAACGTGTAGACGCTGTCACCGCGAGCGTAGAGAAACACAGAAATACGTCGGGACCCGGATATTCACTGTTAAATGGTTCAAGCAACGACACTTCTCTTTCACAAAACAGATCCTCCACGACTGGTGAGTTTGCTCTCACATATTGTTTTAGTTTACGTTGTCAATGGTCAACAGTCGGCATTCTCTCGTCGGGAATATCTGGCTCAAGAAACCGCATTCTTGCACTGCCAGGAATCTGTTTTGCAATGTGAGATTGTGGATTTGCTTTGTGGAGAATCGTGCTTCTCACGCTTTATGGTCGTGTCATAAATGCTCGTAAGTCAACGAAAACGGACCTCGTTTGTATTTTGGACTTTGCATTTTACAGGTTGACTACAACAAACATTGGTTGTCACTCATTTGTAATATTTTTTTTGTCACTGGCAGGATCTGGAATCACCATAGCGGTGGCCAGTAGCATCTCAGTCGCCATTGCGGCGCTTCTCGGAATCGGCCTCCTTCTTCATAAAATGTAAGTCATGAGAGGAAACGCTTCCCCAGTTCGCTTTTTCCACATTTTGCAGTGTTCCATCTATTTGTTCACACTCTGCATTTTGTTTTCACCGCCCCCCACCCCCCCCGCACGCATCCACACTGCCAGGAATCTGTTTTGCAATGTGAGATTGTGGATTTGCTTTGTGGAGAATCGTGCTTCTCACGCTTTATGGTCGTGTCATAAATGCTCGTAAGTCAACGAAAACGGACCTCGTTTGTATTTTGGACTTTGCATTTTACAGGTTGACTACAACAAACATTGGTTGTCACTCATTTGTAATATTTTTTTTGTCACTGGCAGGATCTGGAATCACCATAGCGGTGGCCAGTAGCATCTCAGTCGCCATTGCGGCGCTTCTCGGAATCGGCCTCCTTCTTCATAAAATGTAAGTCATGAGAGGAAACGCTTCCCCAGTTCACTTTTTCCACATTTTGCAGTGTTCCATCTATTTGTTCACACTTTGCATTTTGTTTTCCCCGCCCCCACAAACGCATCCGTTCCAAGGCTCTGTCAAAATGAGAAATGAAAAGACTGTGGTGGAGGAGCTCACTGGGTTGCTCGTGGAATTCTGGAAAGGCTTCACACATTTGTTTTCCCTCAGTCAACGAAAACGGACCTCGTTTGTATTTTGGACTTTACATTTTACAGGTTCACTACAACAAACATTGGTTGTCACTCATTTGTAATATTTTTTTGTCACTGGCAGGATCTGGAATTACGATAGCGGTGGTCAGTAGCATCTCAGTCGCCATTGCGGCGCTTCTCGGAATCGGCCTCCTCCTTCATAAAATGTAAGGCATGAGAGTAAACACTTCCCCAGTTCACTTTTTCCACATTTTGCAGTGTTCCATCTATTTGTTCACACTTTGCATTTTGTTTTCCCCGCCCCCACAAACGCATCCGTTCCAAGGCTCTGTCAAAATGAGAAATGAAAAGACTGTGGTGGAGGAGCTCACTGGGTTGCTCGTGGAATTCCGGAAAGGCTTCACACATTTGTCATATTGAGCCAAGATTGAGTTTGAAAGTGAACAACACACGCTGTGTATTGCTGTATTTTCATTTCCTCCATTTTGGAACAAGGCCGTACCAACAAAATGTGGAAAAACACAAAAGCAAAAACTTTTCTTTGTGTCTATTGCGAAATGTCCAAGAGCGTCATCATTCTTTTTTTCCTTCCTCAGGAGAAAAGCGCAACCCAGCCGCCCGTTGCAAACAACAACAGAAGGCATTCCTCTGAATGAAGCTACGTAATAGCATTGAAAAGCAGGTAGTAAAAAATAACAACAAAAAAAGAAGATCACAGGACAAAAGGAGGCAGCAGCCGCGACTGTCTCGTCGAATCGTACTGTGGATGTGAGCCGGCGGGACTGAAGTGTAGAGAGGCGCCATTAGCCTGGTATTTCCTCATGCTTGTCACGCCGTTGAACACCTGCAGTCCATCAAGACTCGTCGTCATCACCAAGCAGGCGGCGGTGAGCAGCCGGGTCACACCCCGAGCAAATTTCTGTTTCTCTAAACATTTACGGAAAGCTGTCCAAGTTGATGAAATGCAGCATCCAACGTGCGCTCCCTTTTATTATTATTATCCAAGTTGATGAAATGCAGCATCCAACGTGCGCTCTCTTTTATTATTTTTTTTTCTGTTCGTAATGTGTTTACATACATTAGTGCCTTGAGATACACTCCGAAATAAATACAAATGCCATGAGTCCCTTCCAGCCCCCACCCCTGAAAAAAAACACCTGTTTTTATAGTGTATTATAATGATGAGAAATGGCACACTTTAATGTTGTATTTTATAAGATTTTTTTTTTATTTTATTTTTTTTGGATCGCACTTTTGACTTCAGTGCAATGGACATGATGCTGCTCCTTCTGGTGCGCCACCTGGGGCAGTATAATGCCGATATACGTACATGTAGCAGGGTTGTATTCATTTTGACATTTTTTAAAAAAAGAAAATCAATTTGTTGTAATTCGTTTTTTACAGCGTGGAGCTGCTCGCTAATTTTGCCTCCCGCCCAACTCACCCAAATGATGGCTCATGTCATGGAAAATTCGTACGTTGAGTCACTCGTATCTCAGTGTTGTCTTTGCACCGAGTTCGTGTGACGCCGATGCGGTTATTTCCCCCCAACTGGAAAATTGGATCATTTTCAGATGAATTTCCACCAGTGTTTCAAAAAGCCTTTCATCAGTGAGTTCTTTTTTCCTCGAATATTGAATAAGTAGCCATGTAGCAATTTGTTACCTGAATCCAGCTAATTCCCTTCAGTACTTCATAGGATGTGTACAAACCCGAAATATGAGCTGCTATTTTATTTTGGTTTTATATTCATACATTCCAAATGATTAATATTAATGAACTCTGCAGTGTTCCGAGGCACGTATATTTTTCGAAGCGGGAGTTTTGTTCAGCCAAATGCCTCTCAGCTATGCTTGTTAGTTTTTGTAACTTGGCGTTCTGCACTCGTGCAAGCAACACCCATAATAAAGGTCTGCCAAATCCAAATGAAATTTCGGCATGTTATCTTTGTATTGAATCTGAGAAGTTTGTCCTGTCCAGATGTTATCTGATGTTGGATGAAAACATTCCTGCGGAATGGATTGTAGCAAAACAATTGCTGCAAACACGCCTGGGCAGATTTTCTCTCTTGAACAGAAACTTTCTTTATCCTGGGAGGAAACTTTAAAGGGCTGCTTTTTGAGCAGCTGCATTCTTCAGCGTGTCATGTAAGTATTGTACTGGTAAGTGTTTACATCACGTATCTGTAATTGTACAACGCCTTGAACTACCCTTTGCCGAATATTCTACCGGCAACAATAAAGCTCTATTTTCATAGACTGTGCCGTTTTGAAGTAGAAAATAGAAAAAGTCACTTTTATCTATTTTGACAGTGGCTCATTTGCGTGGAGTCACGTGGGTCATGTAGAGCTGTCCTACCTACCACTCTGAACAGGATGAGTGGTTTATTAAAAGTGCAACTTGGCCACCTCACATTAAAAATCAGATGAATACCAATTTCATAAAGGGACCATAAATTTACCTCACGATGTGTCTACCCGAGTCATGCCCAAAATGACGGGTCCGAAGTGACCATTACACCACACCCCCAACGACATCCCAACCAATCAGATGGGAAGGCGGGGTTTTCACCAACTTGGATGAAATGCATGATGTGCGTAATCATGTGACCACTCCAGACCACGCCCACGAAGGCATCTTCCAGTCACCAGGTGGATGTAATGGTAATTGAAAGCAGTAGCAATACACGTAGTTTAAAAAAAAAAAACTGTTTATATATGGAACGTCGGTAGTTGATTGTAAGAGTCATCCTGTGAATGAAACACAGTATACTATAACCACAATAGGACTTTATTTCTCTGCCTCGTCCAAACGGTTAAATTGGCCACCATAAATTTACCTCACGATGTGTCTACCCGAGTCGTGCCCAAAATGACGGGTACGAAGTGACCATTCTAACACCACACCCCCAACGACATCCCAACCAATCAGAGGGGACGGCGGGGTTTTCACCAACTTGGATGAAATGCACGATGTGCGTAATCATGTGACCACTCCAGACCACGCCCACGAAGGCATCTTCCAGTCACCAGGTGGACGTAATGGTAATTGAAAGCAGTTGCAATACATGTAGTTAAAAAAAAAAATGTTTATATATGGAACGTCGGTAGTTGATTGTAAGAGTCATCCTGTGAATGATACACAGTATAACCACAATAGGACTTCATTTCTCCGCCTCGTCCAAACGGTTAAATTGGCTTACATCAGCGGTCACTGCGTAGCCAGCATTTCTGTCGCGTCGCAAAAAATGGACGTCATAGTTCGAGAAATAACATTTGATTTTGACGAGCGAAAAGTCAGACGACGTCGACAAGGAGGGAATGTTGACGCTTTGCCGGTTGACAT